GTGCGGTCCCTCTCATATTATATACCTCAGCGGCACAAGACTTACACGAGTTTCACTGATCTCCTTTTTAGCTTACCAAATCTGGTATCGTTCCTCCACCTCTCGATCACAGGGCTTTTCTGTAGATGCTGACCTTCCTGGGTCACTTGGGCGACAATGTGACTCGGCCGTGTACTACAGCTGCAGCTATCACCTACTTCGAGAAAAATTTCTACTTTTACCTGATTTGATGCACGAGAATATGAAATCAAGAGGGATCGTTAACTCATACCTTTCTCAAGCCATCATAAGAACTGCAGACAGAGGACTTAAGAAACCACTTCCAAGTGGGTAAATCGCAAGAGCATTCGACATGATGCGCCTGAGGCCCACATTTTCACTCATCGCGTTGCTCCGGAAACTTCTGACGGCCAAATGCAGACACCATTGTAAATGTTTTCGCCTGTCCTCCTTCTCCTTTTACTCACTCTCGTCAATGTCTTCTTTCTCTGATCCTTCCACTAATTGTTTCACTCCGCGAATTTATCTGCGCCTGGCTCTCCCTGCTCCTGCTACATTCCTACACCTCACTCGGTAGACTCTGACAGGAAGGGCGGGAGAGGGAGTTAGTGAGAGAAAGGACAGATTTCACTGGACATCACAGCACTCTGAGCTTTAATGAATGGGATGGGCAGCGGGCAGAAATATTCGCCACGAAGTCTTTGCTTTTGGTTCAATTGAAAACTTCCAGAGCAATGGACAGATTGAATTTGTGTTTCCCAGGAGCACTACGCCTAATCCTCTTGCGTATTAAGGTTTCTTTTTTCCTTAGTCTCCAAAACTTGGGTACTTTTGCTGCATCTTCTGCAATGTTTTGGCAAAAGCACAAATCGCATTTCTACGTAGGACCATTTTTACCTTAATTGCTTTTCAGAGACAGTGCTTACGAAATAAGGCAATCTTTTGCTTATTGGAAATGATTAGTGTCTACTTTTAAAATATAAAGCTTGATGATCGTCTGCTTGCCTGTTAGCGTTGTGGCTATCAAGTCATTTGGG